CGTTTAGTATCCAATTAAGATAAAGAGTTTTATATAATAATAATAATTTATTTGTTTGATAATAATCATTCTATTATCATTACTAATTCTATTTATCTATTAAGACTAGTTAATATAATTAGTTGTTAGAATGATAAACGAAATCTTATCAATGAATTAATGAAATAATAACTATTTTGGATTGATTAGAAATAAAAGGAAGCTTCTTTTATAGTCACTAAATGATTTCCTCATATTCAATAGCTAATTTTCAAAGTTGGATACATTTATCTGAAATGAATTTGTTACTTATGTTTATCAGCTGATATATGCGGTTAGTTGCTACGGTAAAATTCGATTATATTTAGAATCAGATTCAGATTTGTGTAGTAAGGACAGAAAGCCTATGGCCTATGTGATTCCTTTTCTAGCATGCTTCTGTGAGTGTCCAGTCTTCTCTTGAAAGAGTCAATTGAAGGTGCGGACACCGTTGCTTTGGGCAGCAGGTTTTAAGTACTGATGACTCGGTGTGAAAACCTGTATGCCACGGGTATTTTGTTCGTTCTTGGCTTTTCTACTCGCCTGCTATGTCCTCTGAGATGTCTTGATCTAGTGGGAGGAAAAAGAGAGAATAAGTTAGGTCCAAAATAACTTCTCAGTATTCTGTACATCAAAATTAGATCTCCCCTTATTCCGCATTAGGACAGAGTAAAGAGGTCCTGCTTTACAAGCCGGTCTTTGTATTGTAAACCTCGGAGTTCTGGAATTGCACGGGTAGCTGCCTTCTGTAATTTTTCTAAGATATCCGAGTCACCTTTTAAACAAGAGGCTTGCAGCCTTAACTCAGTTCTCAAGCTTAGTTCTCACCAAGGATGTGCATACTGTGGCGAACATTGTAGTATCTAACTTAGTGAGTGTCCGTTTTAAGGCACAAAGGGTTCGAAACTCTTTAGCTGCGACCTCCCGGCGATCGGCCGTCGTCTTAAGACCATAACTCACTGTCACTCCTAGATCCCTATGAGACCGAACCACGGGTAAAAACACTTCCCCTGTGTTGCACCTATTAACCTTTGAATCCCCAAAGTGCATGTAGATACACTTTTCCACGTTGATAGGCATCAGCCACTCATATTAGTCAAGTCTGCCTGAAGAGCACATGCGGCTACGTCTCCAGTTACTACTCGCCAAATCTTTACATCGTCAGCGTATAATAGCATTGGAGACTGTACTATACTTGGAAGATCATTAACATACATTTTAAAAAGTAAATGACCTAGGACGGAACATTGAGGTACTCCAATAAGTACTGGTCTCTAGATGGAGCACTTGGAATTTATTCTTACTTTCTGTCTACGACCTACTAGGAAATCATTAATCCATTTTAAAAGAGGTCCGGCAATACCAAGGTTTTCCAACTTCAATATCAGTCTATTTGTTGGCACCTTGTCAAAAGCCTTACTGAAGTCTATTTAGACAATGTCCACTGAGTTTCCATTGTCTAGCGCCTTTATCCAAAACTCCTTAGCTATAAGGAGGTTTGTTGTACAGGATAGACCCATTCTAAAACCATGTTGTTCTATATTTAGCAAGTTATTGGTTTCCATGAATGCCATTATGGTCCGTTCGACTATTCTTTCCAATATTTTAACTACAACACTGTTCAGGCTTACAGGTATGTAGTTCGATGGAAGTTGTCGTGGTCCTATTTTATGTATGCGAGTGACGATTGCGTCCTTCCAGTCTATAGGTAATACACCTTGGTCAAGTGACATATTGAATATCACAGGCAGTGGGGCCGCGATATATTGTGCAATATTTCTCAAGATTTCGGGGTGTATTTCATCTGGTCCTGTCGACTTTCCCATGTTTAAGGTGCTAAGAGCCTTAAGCATATCGTCTTGATCGAAGTCCACGTTGAGCAGATGGTTTGTTGACTCTATTTTTGTCTGGTTCTTTGTTTAGAGGAGGTTCCAGAGTGAAAACTGCCCCAAAATAGTCAGCCATAGCTTCTGCTTTTTCCTGATCTTCCTATATCAGTTCAGATTCACTCCCTTCTTTAATTAGGTTGGGAATTCAATTATAGCTTCCTGAATTAGTAACTTCTTATTTGTACTGCAAAACATAAAAAGCCAATGCGAGTTAGGCTTCGAGCATCTTTTGTATGCCGTAGGACTTAAACATGTACACATCTTATGGTACCACTTTTTACATTCATCGCTCTGCATTCCTTCCACAACGGGGAACAAGCAGTTTGGTTGTCCACATTTATAAGTCTTACTAACCATTGTAATTTGATTAAAAACGTTTAAAAAACAATATGAACACAATGTGAACACGAGTGTCAGGCAGTGAGTAATAAAAGGTACCACAGGACAAAGTTTAGCAAAAATTTCAAACCTTAACCAAAGTACTTTTGGTTAAAGTAGACCAAGAATGCTTTTTGGTGCAACAAGTACACAAAACGAGGATAATCATGACAAGTACAAAAATCACTATCCTTTTTTAAACGAGCATGTGTATGTGAAGGAGTTTTATTTCTAGGATATACTTATTTTATTAGCATCAATATTGATTTGTTATGATTGAATAATATTAGTGTTATATTTCGCTATACGATTGGGAATATTTGACTATATTTTAATGCCAAAATAAAGTATTAAATCTAAGGGATATCAAAGGATTGGATAAATGTACAATAAAATAGTGTGACTTTTATCAATAAAATAGATTTGTAAGCATTTATGGAACAAGATAAATATAGCTAGAATCTGGATATGTTATGATGTTTTTGATTCAGATCATGAATCGATTGATGTTAGATCACCCTTGCAAACCTGGAAGCACTGGACGGCTGTTTCTTCCTATTACTGGACTCCTCAGCAGTGCACATCCCGCTCGCGGGATTCGAACCCAGGGCCTTCGGTCTCGCGCGCGAACGCGAGATTCAATGATATTTAAAATCGGCAGATATTTAAATGAACCTATTGCTTTAGGTATCGTTCTTTTGTTCGGTTTATTGTACTTTTCTCAGTTCAGTTATTCTAATATATACCCGGCTTTAATATGATTCTATTTATTGGTATAGTAGCATATTTTAGATGAATCAGTTTGTGTAAATGTTTATGATGAACTCTGAGATCAGAAAATAATTTAAGAAAATTAATTGTTATCTTTTTCTTGTTTCTCACTTGTAAATTACTGGATTGATATTTTGAATGCAACATTTAATTATATGAACCGTTTGGTAAGTACACTAAAATTATTCATTTGGGGACAAACCTGAGCAAATTTAAGCTTTCTTGTGAGTAGTTAACAACTAACCACATCATATTATAGTCTTTTGTCTATCGAAAGAAATTCAATTTATTAGATTTATCAAATCTAGACATGTTCATCTGTCAAGTTTTTCTATTCTGAGTACACATCATAAAGTAATAATCACTCTTTTGTATATTCACTTGATACATTATGTTGAGCTATTCATTATCAAGTACTGTGGTTTTGATTTTGACACAGCTATAAATGGATACACATACTTGTAACGGTTATTTAATATTATGTATCATTTTTTAGTAGCTGACTGGTTGTTAACAATATGAAATTGATCAACTCACCATAAACTACATTATTATAAATTAACTTTGAATATTTCATTTATAAAGATAATGAATGTCTTGACCAGTACAATATACAGTTACTGTTTCATCAAAACAACTTTACAATGCTTTTATTAAAAAATACACAAACATTTATTATTGATCACACAAATTTTTAATAAAACATATGAAAATTAACTTGGAGATGAGTTAATATTGGTGTGATGAACTTAACAAATAAACCAATGGGACAGATCAAAAAATATTTATAAATGGATTACAGAAATGTTTTCTCTACATGTCTAATAATCTTGTACAATTAACAGTTTGTTTTTTAAAAAAAATCAGATGGTTCATGATGATGGCACTTTTAAACAAACAAACCATTTACACTACTCATGTTTGTACTGTGTTAAATGTGAGATAAAATGGTTGTCTTCTACTTTGAATAAAATGAATAGAAAGGTAGTTATTAAAGTTTAAATAAGCTTCAGTAAATCTAAAAGAAAAAGGAATTCACAACATAGTAACAAACGGCTATAGGAAAAATCAAAAAACGACAAGCTGTTATATACTATATAGTAAACAAAATTGTAACAAATATATATTAACTAAATGAAGATTTCAAGACAACTTTATAGTTTATGAAGTGCAAATTGACCTTATAGTTGATAATAAGATAAAGACAAAAATAATCCATTAGGAAAATATGTATAAATATTGTATCTGATATTTAAGGGATATACAGATAGATATATGTGTACATTTTAATAATTTCATTATTGTTTCTGATCAAATTAATGTTTCTTTATTGACTTACACTAAAATTATAACTTGCTACTCTTCTTTTCAAATGATCACTCTTGTATATATCAGCAATGGAATAAGGTTAAAATTCACTGGCATCGATAACCAAAAAAAAAGTATATGGAAGAAATGAAGCTCATATGAGGCAACATTGAAACAAATAAATGATATGGATATATATGTATATATTTGATAGCAAAATGTTTATGTTAGTATTCTATTCCTTGTTTGATAGTGAGACAGATAATAGACGAATGAATTAAGATAATATTGATCAATTCTTTTTATGTAATCCGCCTTTTTAACATCAAATGAAAACGATTGATTATATTTTAGAATAAAATATTCAAAGAGAGATAGAAAAACAAAATAGATCTGTGAAAAGAAAAAAGATGATACAATGAAATGAACATGAAGTACAAACAATAGGCTTGGGAATAAAACAAGAAATAAGAGCAGAATAAAAAGTAGAAATATAATAGAGAGAGGAAGATATACAGACAGGAGATTGACATATTTTGGAATGAAGTAAAATTATCAGTCCAGTTTTTTTTTCAGAAATGCAAATTTTATGAGTAGATATATAAATATGTGTAAGTTTGATTTTATCTTGACAGTTCATACATTTTCACGTAAATTAATCTCTGGATAATCATCCATTGAAAAACTTCTTAATAGTAATAAGCCTAATATTAAACCAGCCATCTGAAAAGAAAAATAAACGAGAAAACTGTTATCAAGATGCTTCTTATGAAAATTCCTTAAAATTTGATTATACGAAGTAAAACTCAAGAAAACTATGTGAAAATAGTATAGATATACCTCTCAGTAGTGAAACATAATGTAGGAAAATTGGCTCTTACTTTAAATGTAAAGTCGAGTTCAAGTTTTTGAAATATTGTACGGTAATTAACCTCATAATTTGTTAGTGTCATATCAACACAAAAGTTTTCTTTCTCGAAGTTATATTCTTTTGTTATGTGTACTCAATTATTCTATAAAAGAATGAAGTGTTCTCTTAAGCAGAAAAACGCATTCGTGTTACCGATAATGATTATTTGATAACCAGATTTAGATATTTGTACTGTCATCTTTGACTTTTATGTTTTGTGTTATACTTATAATGGGTTATTAAAAATAAAACAGTTTGCTTGAAGTTTGAACGAACATTTTGAATGTTAAAAGCTCAATGTTTTGTCCAGTAAATCAACTATCAACAATATTTTCTTAGTAAATCAAGTATATTAACAATAATGTGATGACTGAAATAACTATTTTTTGGATTTAAATGTATTAGTAACTACTTTATTTGAAATAAAAAACGAAAGGGAAAGCTGCACAAGGAAATAAATTGCCTACTAAGAGATATAGAGAAAATAGCTAATTAAGAATTCTGAAATGTCAGACCATAATTAAGACTACTATGCATTGAATATTGAAAACAGGCAAACATGTGTTTTGATTTCTTCTAACTACTAATCAATAATTGTATCCAACCATAAACAATTCTATTTTTAGTATCTCCACACTATTTATAAAATATTAGTAAACAGAAATTATCAGAATTATATACACATCATTGTTCTAAATAGAAAATTGAATATTCCCCTTTGAATTATTCTGTTGTTTGAAGAAAAAAGAAACACAACTTCAATCTTATGCTGAAACGAGATACGCTTTTCTAAATATGTGTATTCTGGAAAAATTAATGTAAAGGGTATCAATGAAAAAAAGGAAAATCTTTTTATAAATGATGCGGTTATTTATAACAATATATTCTAATAGTCTTTTCTCCTGAAATCATTTCAAACTGATTTTGTAATAATGAAATCTGAAAATTCTAAGAAACATGTAGGTTAATGAAAAGTTTAATTAATCATTCTATTATTAAAGGTTGTCATATGAAATAAAACAGTTTTAGAGAGTATATTTTAGCGAATCAGCAGAATTCATGTCATAAATTAAAGTATTTTATCAGTATGAAGATTTATACAAATTTAATTTGGCTGATATAGGTGCATACATGGGTTTGTAATTGAATTGTCTGCCGAATTCTAAATAGAAATATAGTTTTGACAATCAATCCAATATTTATGACAAAAAATAGCAGCAATATAAACATTAGGGAAATATATACCCCTTTTATGGCATACACACGAACAAATGCAGATAAAGACAACTAATGTAGCAGCAGTCTCTGCATCAGTAGGCCTAAACATACACAAGGGGAAAACCAAGGTCCTCAAATACAACACGGAGAACAGCAATCCACTCACTCCTGATGGTGAAACTCTGGAAGATGTGGAATCCTTCACATACCTGGGAAGCATCATCGATCAACAAGGAGGTTCAGATGCAGACGTAAAGGCGAGGATTGGAAAAGCAAGGACAGCATTCCTACAGTTGAAGAATATATGGAACTCAAAACAACTGTCAACCAATATCAAAGTGAGAATCTTCAATACGAACGTCAAGACAGTCAGTTCTACTGTACAGAGCTGAAACATGGAGAACTACAACAACCACAATCAAGAAGGTACAAATATTTGTAAATAGCTGTCTACGCAAGATACTCAACATCCACTGGCCGGATACCATCAGCAACAGCCTTCTGTGGGAGAGAGCAAACCAGGTTCCAGCTGAAGAGGAAATTAGGAAAAGACGATGGAAATGGATAGGACATACATTATGCAAATCATCAAACTGCATCACGAGACAAGCCCTAACTTGGAATCTTGAAGGGAACGGAAAAGAGGAAAGCCAAAGAACACATTACGTCGAGAAATAGAAGCAGGTATGAAAAGGATGAATAACAACTGGAAGGAGCTGGAAATGACTGCCCAGGACAGGGTTGGACGGATTGTGCTCGTGAGCGGCCTATGCTCCTTGACGAGGAGTAACAGGCGTAAGTAAGTAAGTAATTTTTCAGTAGTATCAATTTCACAACAAAATAATTTAGAAACTAAACAACGAATCATTTTTTCATCCAATGAATTTTTTAATCTCAATCTAATAGTAAATCATATAATAAATGAACTCATACATATTTGATATTTTCATTACACTACTAAATCAATCAGGTTTTCATCTAATGACCTAGTTCTTATTTCACCTTACTTTAGTCTAATTTAACCGAAGTTTTATTTATGTGAACTAGTGAAAAAGAAAACTGTTCGTAGCTTGAATGAGAGAACAATTGTTCATTATTAGCTTTTCATAGAGTACTTATATACTTCTTGTTAATAATGAATAAAATGTAACAAAAATACTCCACTAATATAGTAGTTTCATAATTCTCAATTATTTCATTAATATTTCAGTATAATTCACCTTAAATCACTTAAATAAGTCGATTTATTACTATATTTCTTTCTACATTTGTTTCATTCATATATTTCCTTCTTTTTAATTTTGGCTAGTTATTCTCTATAGAATTTTTATTCTCGTCGTTTGCATATTGTCAAGATTTTCTATTTGAATGGCAATATATATATGTATAGATATTCTGTTCCAAGAATGAAAAAAGTAAACTACTCTGTCATATATAGTTCTAAGAAAAACTAAAGAAATGACATCAATTAATTCATTGAAATAAAGATAATAATAAAAAACAACGATAATAAACTTATAACAAGCAATATAAAATGACTAGAAAAGGAAACATCACTATTGGAAGAATAAATTAGACAATCAAAATAACTGTTCACTTGAAATGAAAAATAAACAATAGGATAAATAATGAAGAGTGACAAGTATTATGTGCTTGTTTGAAATGTCTTATTGAATCTCAACTAATAATAATATTTTATTATTTGAGAATAGTGTAGCAAACAGAACACGAGTGGGAACAATTGAAGATATCTAACACAAAATCATAGGAATTGTTAATAAAATCTAACAATCATAAAGTAAATGCTTAATTTGCAAAATGTCCATCAATTGTCTCATAATGACTCAGACTTCATTGTTCTTGCATTTCCAAACAAATTGCATCCTGTTTCCATTCTTTACTATTCGATCCTCTTGTTTCTCTACTGTCAGACCTTCTGTTTATGACTAACATTATCTACTACTTATGTCAATATAAGTAGCACATACCACAATAGTATGAAAAATGAATATTATGTCATTCAAATGAATAAATCCTTTTATATGTTATCCCTGAATAACTAAATCAAAGAAACTACTTAAGAATGGTATATTCAACAATCAACTTCTAATGTGCGTATAACTTACACTAGTTTTATAGTGTGTTCTAATTTTAATATACAAATTCATTGTAAAATATTTGACGTCAATCGATTGAAGAAAATCAACATCAATTTGATGCTAATTGGCATAAATCAATGAAATGTAGTTGTATTCTTGAAGAAAATATAGCTCCTAAGTGATTCAAATTCTTATAAGTGACGTAACCATATATGTTGACATTGAGTCACTTGAATTGATGATTAGATTGTGAAATCGTCAACGGAATATGAACACTATTGAGGACTATACTATTCATACATCAGCCAGTCTAAAGGTAGTGATTAATATGAAATACATTTTTGTTACTCACATTTATTATCAGTTATAAGTGATCAAAAAGGCAACATTAAACGTCATGATATAGACTGATTATGTATTACGTAATGTCTTAACAGTGTGCTACTGTTTCTAAGGCTTTTAATATTTAGCAAAAGCAAACCTGCTCACTTCTTAAATGATGCTTAACTGATACTCAGAATAAATTTTTTGAATAAAACTAGTATTTTTAAAATGAAAACGTCACTTCCTAATGCTAATATATTGTTCATCTATTATTGTGATACCTCATTTACAGAACGGTAGTATTGGAAAATAAATTACTTATACTTTTAAATATGCTTAGAATACAATGACAATCATAATGCATCTCAACTTAAAAGGTGTTGCATGGTAAGAAATCTACATTTTCCAGCACTATATCCATTTTATTTTATTCTTTAATGTATATCTATGATTTAGTTGTTATAAAATAGAAGAAAAATGGATCGATAAAGTTGTACATACTTTTTTCTTATTATATTTATAGATTAATGATATTTCTATAAAAGTTTAACATTATAACTATTCATATTCACTTGGTGTTGTTTAAATGTATCTTCTCATTGCTATTTAGGACTGCAATTAATCAGTCTCTTACTGGCATATGTAAATCCTGTGTGGACTGTCTCGATATTGCCTGAAGTCAAAAGCTTTATAAGCAAAGATGGATAGTGACTAGCAGTGGAATCCATGACGCGCCTTTCGTCCTATTCAGTTCGTTGCATGTTTCAAATCGGTATATTATCTTCTAAGTGATTTACTTTTGTTCATATTCTTCACATACTGAAATTTTATTAATCTAATTTTCGATACCATAATAAAAAGCATGTCTTTTTTTATATTACTACTGATATTATTACCGATGCTAATCTAGAAAAAACCTAGTTAGGATAAGCTTTATTGAAAATAAATGGTAATATTCTACTTCCGGAAAATTATACACTTCTAATTATTAATTATTAATATACAAGCGTTCAAATTCCAAAAGAAAAGGACATAATAGTAATATGTTTCGTTCAATTGCCTGAAAATGTTAACGAATTGTAAATGTACATAAAAAAGGAAATTCAACCAAAAAGAAACCCGATGAGGTTATTACAAATTACCAAGAAAGAAACGAAATTAAAGCAGTGAATAAAAATTGATCTAGATAAACCGACGTTTTAATAAATAAGAAACAATTCCATACACAATTAAATTGGATGATTTTGGAATTATAACTTTTGTATAATCATACAAACCGCCTTTTTTAAATTGTCGAACGATCTATTTGAAACAATATTTTATTGATGTCTTCAATCTTATATTCAGAACAATAATTAGCCTTATAGAATTTGTTTAACTAAACTTCTTATTTAACTGTAAATCTATATACATTGATATATCTTTCAGAAATAAATCCATTTTCCTCAATATGATTTGACTATATATGTATAGTAAAATCATAGTTAGTATTTGTAGTGAGAGCACTATGTCTTAGACATGTGAATACTTTAGCAAACATGACAGATATTATCACTGTTTTCTAGATTACTTCGTAGACCCAATATTAAATGCATATATATATCCTGAGGTGACAAATAATGTAATACACAAACCAGTAATTATGTATGTGCATTTCTTTTTTTAAACTATTGGAAGCTTGTTTGTCTATCTATCTTCATCAACAGGAAGTAAGCAAAGTATTCTAATAAAATACAAGAACAAAAAGTAATCAACTTTAATGTTATATTTAACAAGAAATAAATAGATCAGGTCGGCTATAGTAGACACTATAAAACGTTTAGGTATTCAGCATAATTTCAAAGATTTTGTGCAAACAATAGTGTTAACAAAGATTAAAACACAGCTAAACTGATTGTGCGCTAATGATTGTACGAACAGGTTAAACATTTAGAAAACACACTTATTCTCAGAGCTATGTGTATTTAACATATTAAAATGCATTTTAAAGTGCTGTTTCAGTTAACACATAGTTGATAAAAGATATTTTTTTGACATTAAATAGTTGAAGTAGTGTCATAGGATTACTTCAGTCGAAAATCCTATAGTAATAACAAGTTAAATAAATTAGAACAATTTCTTTTCGATGATTGTAAATGAAACTTTTAAAGTCTTACCATATGATTACAATTAAGCATAGTTCATAGTGAAACGAATTTTTTTTAGCCTGACAAACTCTTCACCTGCTTTATTTGACAGACTTCATTTCACATTCAGAGCTTGATCGTAATATTTGTAACCATCTGGTAATCCATTTGTACAGTAAATATTTTCATTCAAATATTCAATGACAAGCTAATATCAAGAATGTTTAGAGTTAAAAACAACATGTTCCAGATAAGGATAAACATGATTTCTATTCATATCTGGAAATTTACATGCATAAACCACGTATCACGATTCATACAAAAATTCCAGCTTGAGTAAATCAAGGAATAGGTGGATGAACAATATTCATCAATACTATGCCTCAATGCCATATGTCATTCAATTATGTCATGTATAATCAAAACTTTATCATTTGATTCTTATGTATATTACACTGTGAAGTAATATTCACGTAACATTATTTCAACTCTTGCATTAAACTATTAAATAATAAACATTGTCATTAAGAAGAAGGATATCCTTCCTCACATAATGAACAGTAATGAACAACTGTCTTTTTCATAAAAATTTTCTAATATGTCAAGTATATAGTGATAATTGAAATTAAACTATGTACTATATCTTTTGTTCACATCTTCTATATTGGCTTGTTCAAGCGTGATTTGAGAAAAATGCTAGAGACAATTAGATGAAGATATGATATCACTTCATAAAATCAGTAACTGCTCATTTGAGCCATACCAAAATGTGTAAACATTCTGATTAGAATCCACAAATCAATCATACTTTGTGGCGGAAAACCTTAAAAAAACATTGCCGACAATATGAAACACTGACTCAAACTCATTCATTTATATATGTTCTTTATATTTTGAGGTTAAGCGTTATTTCATACATCTAATCTGTTCTTTTTTAAATATATATCCTTTACCTAGCCTGACCACCTTGCTTTATATTTTGTTAATTTCTTCTCTCACTGTGCTAATTTGACTTGTAACAACTTGTTCTCGTAAATATTTGTCCCAAACTCTCTAATATCTATGACGGAACAAAATAACAAACACAATATTTGACAAAGATTTGTTTAATTTTAGCACTAAAAGAAATTATTAAAATCCGTGTCTACTGATAGGAAACAAAATAATTTAAATCTGATGGAAATATTTAAGTAATTAGTAACTATTTTTATCATAGGGCCGAAATCATAATACAAAATATAGAACCATAAAACTGTTTTGAGAAAAAGTTCACAAAAACTAACAAATCATGATCCAGTGGTATGGTTGTTTGAATCTTTCCAGTGATGTTTAGTACTGCAGTTGATCAGTCTCTTTTGGCATATATGCATCCTGTACGGATTTTCTCTGTATTGTATTAAGTCACAAGCCTTATAAGCAGAAATGAATGATTAAAAAAGCTTTGAGACACATCTTTACTCTCACTTACCATTAGTACGGCCAATATGACAACCATTATAATTAATGGGATGAAATACTGATACAGCAGGGCAATAATCACATTTGCACAACCCTAGTAAGTAAAATCAATAAACAGATTAAATTTTTAATTACCTAGAATCTACAATTTCTATAATCTATTTTACGGATAAAAAGAATTAATGAATCCTGATATTAATTATGTATAGTCATTGTCTATATATATATATATATCAAGCTACGAAATCTCAAGCAGATAGTTTCATTAAAACGAAAAGGTCATATTTTGCCACTCTATATGTAATCAGTGAATAACTACTGTTAACTTGGAATAGAAGTTGTTTAGTATTCTAAACACAGTGGGCATCATATTGAAACAAACTGAAAACGGAAATGGCTTATCATTAGAACATTGCTAGCTAATACACTTTAAATGAGTATGAAAAAGTCGAGACATTTAACCGCAGCCTAATAGAAATATCAAAATGTAGAAAAATTGGAGTACATTGAAAGATCCTGTAAAACTCACTGTAGAGTGAAAATAAGACTAATATAACAACATAAAATATTGCTGTGGAATTCTCAGGCCTCGAAAATCAAAGTTTTACTGATTCTTTTCAGTTTTCAGCTGCTTTAATACATTTTGTCCAGATCTATACTTGAAGCTCACTAAACTTATCAATTTATCAACACAAAATTATTATTGTTTTTCGAACGATTACTTAGGGCCAACCCCTTTTAACGCTCATTCTCAGCCCCATTTTAACCTTAAATAGAAAAGCGCCGTGAGTTAGAATTAATATACATTATTCAGCTTACTTCAGCTTAGATGCATCGTATTTGATCGCATATTAATCTTAATGTGTAGTTAATTTGTAGCCCACTTACGCTTTAATGAAATTAACACCTGATAATAATGTTTAATTCTGCTCGTTATATGACATCTTTTAAGAGACAGTTTAAAGTACCTCTGTGATAACGTTATTATGATGCTATCAATTTAGACTTTCCCGTTACTTTCTTCAGTTTCTAATAAATCATATCTTTGTTCCTAACACAGACTGAAGCTAATTTATGTACATAAAGTTCAAGATATTTTTTTGTCTTCATCAAATTATTCAATAGACATGGGACTGTGCTTTTATTCCAGTCTTTTTTTTCACTATATCCGTTACACAATTCGTTACGATCAATTTGAATACTTGAGTAGAGGTTTTGGGCAACAAACGATAGCTTTTACAAATATTTATTGATTTATAGCTTCTGGGTAGCGTCTGAATAGATTAGTCTACTCAGGACAGTTGAGTAAACAGAAATTGGAAATAATTATTCTTAACTTTGTGTTAAAAAGTTTTTCTGTAATTCTGACGACAGTAGATTGGACATTAACTATCAGTGACGTCAAGCCACTTCATCGGCTTCATTATGTCACAGTTCTCAATCACTTCTTGAGATCTAAAATTTTCATCTTCTGTACATACTTCTAAATTACACTAAAATGCAACTTAACAACTCGTGAATTATGCTTAGATTTTAACCTGTTAAGACAAATTCCAAGATACTATAACATGTTTTTATTATGGCTGATTCACATGAATAGATAATTATTTCAAAACGCTCAACGGTACTCGGATCTTAAACATCACTTTTCATCTTCGCTGATAGTTTCATGAGGATATGTTTTGTGTTTGGTTATGATAGAAAAAACCCTGATCAGTAGGTGATGATTGATCGACAGCCTTTAACGAGATGCTCATTGACATAGTCCTTAAACGAAACGGTATTCCAAGCCGGCACGGTTGACAAAAAAACAGGGTTAGTTGGACGAACACGAACCACTTCTGCCTGATAAAATTAGCAACATATAAGTTGATTGAGGCGGAATTGTTGTATTAACGAAACGTTTTTCAGTGTTTTGATAAGTGAATATGTTCTGGTGTGACAATCGTTTCCATATTAGCTACCTAAACCATTTTATATCGTTAAATCCCGTACAAAATGAAATGTATAGAATCTCTTAAGGAATAAGTTGTGTAATATTTCCAACTATTATTCGATAGGCCCAGTTTTCGCTCATCCATGCCTCAATAAAATGTTCAATTCTTGACTGTCATATAGAGGTTAATTTTCTTGAATCTGTATATCTACGAAGCAAACATGTATCCATTGTTTTACAATATTTTATTCAATCGAATTATCTTTCTATTCAAAAATTATACAAAAGAAATTAATTTGTTAGTGTTTATGTTTCTTTATCACACGTAGATTAACAAATGTGAACAAGACATTTGATCACTGTTAAATAATTAATTTAACAGAACAAATAAAAAATAAACTGAATTTATGCTTATGCAGTTAGCTGGTATTTCATTTCCAAATAGGTTAGGGCTTGAAACTGCATAGTTTCAACTGCACAGTGCCAAAAAAGAATCTTAAAATAAATAAATATAACGGATATTTCCAACCTTAAGCTTTAGAGTAGCAAATCTACGACTGCTATGTTGTAACAGCCAGTACAAACATGATTTTAGTTTGTGATTAAAATAATTTTAACTAAACGTAAAAATCTTTGGATGACGATCTAGAAGTTGGGACAAGAAATGAATTTAACGTGAATGATCAACAGTGATTAAGGGTCATATAATTCAAATAGTAAATGTTATGTGACTTAATCATGAGATAAGAAATAAAGCAGTTATTGTAGACGAGGAGAAACGGTCAATGTGATAAACATCCACCGAAATAAAAGTGTTATTAATAAAAATCAATCGTAGTGATATTAGAACTAATATAATAATGACTCAGATGAAAGAGCAGGTCATATTACAAGTAGTTTTTGTGTATAAAAAATCCTTTAGATCTAGGAGGTTACAATAATACATTTCACTATTTCACAGGCTGAAATCATGAGTCAATTGAAGCTAGACCACCATGGGAAACATGGAATCACTGGACGGCCGTCTCGTCCTAGTATGAGACTCCTCAGCAGTGCGCATCCACGATCCAGAACTTCGCGGGATTTGAACCCAGGACCTACTGGCTTCGCGCGTGAACACTTAAACATTAGACCACTGAGCCGGCACCCAACGGTGTAAATGTGAGATAACAGCTCACTGAAGACTGGTGTACGGTGGCGCAACTTCGTGGATTGGTTGAAGTTAGACATTAACACCGTCGGATACCGGCTCAGTGGTCTAGTGGTCAAGTGCTCACGCGCGAAACCAGTAGGTCCTGGGTTCAAATCCCGCGGGGCGCGGGATTGTGGGTGCGCACTGCTGAGGGGTCTCATACTAGGGCGAGACGGCCGTCCAGTGATTCCATGTTTCCCATGGTGGTCTAGCTTCAAATGACTCATGATTTCAACCTGTGAAATTTCTAAAACCCTCCACAAAACCCATTCTGACATTTCACTATGTTAACTCTAAGCTAGTTTTTCTTTCTACAGATCTCCATAAAAACAGTCATTGAGTAGGCGTATAGACGTCTAAACTTCTCCCAATTCCATGCAATTAGTTTCTATGGTAAACTTTTAAAAAAAAAGGAACAGTAAACATTTTAGGATGAAGTAAATTCACTTCATTTGTTGTACTCAAGATTTTTCACATGTGAAATGATTTCTATGGAGAAATAAAATGTTTTACAAATATTATTTCATGTGTGAGTTAACTCACTATTTTTTTGTTACAAATTTATTGGATGGATGAATAGAATAAACGGGAAAGAGAAAAAGAGAGGTCGTGACGTAATCGACTACAAAAACGTTGTCTGATCATTGCAATTTAGAGTGGAAAAAATAACTGCTAAAAGACAATGGTAAATAAAGTAATCATAATAATGGTATTCACAATAGTAGTGATAATGACTGTTGAAAATGGTATAAAAAGATGCAGTCATTTGGAAGGCTATATTGGAAAGAGATAAAACAGTTCATTGGATGGTGTTAAAATATTAAGAACAGTGATAATAAAAACTGTAAATTGAAAGTAATAATACGACCTAAATGAAGATAGTTATCCTCGTTAAACGAAGTTCTGACAAATTTATTCCTTTTAATGATAATGCCTTGTTGTGGAAGTTTATTTTAGAAATTTGTCACTAATAAACGTTTGTTCTCGACTAAATTTCGTTGAATATTTCCCACTTACCTATCAAGGTAATCTTCATGAAAAAGTTTGTTTACCATTCAGAACACCCTTCTAACAAGACCTCTTTTAAATGAGAAGGGACAAAGCTGCTGAAACTCAAATATTACCCTGTTTAAGAAGTCTTGTCATCAGTTGAAAGCGGAATTACTGAATTTTTCTTTTTTATAATTTTTGAGTACAAGATGTTCGTTCCATGTTTTGTAATTCGTGCTCCTAAGTGAATTTTAACTTCGAATACGAGACATTTTGTAATGCTTCAAAGTGAATAACAAACAACTAATCCCTAGTCTTCTGAAGTTTACTGAAGCTCTTGTTATCAAGCGTCAAAAACTATTTATATGTTCAAAAGAAGATTGTGACACATATTCCTTCATTGAATTGTTGAGCAGTCGATTGGATGAAACTTATCTCTGTTCATCAACTTCCTTGATTATAAGAAAGCATTTTACAGTGAAGATATGGTAATCCTACGGAATCGTCTACGGTACTATGGAGTACCTGAGAATATAATCATTATCATATGGAACTCCAACGATGGACTAAATTGTGGAGGTGAACACTGGTATTGCAAGGATGGCGTTCCAAAACGGAAGAATATTTGCGACTCAAAACAACTATAATCCAACATCACAATCAGAATATTCAATATTAACGATAAAATAATTTCCATCGTAGGGAGCTCAAACCTGAATAACTGCCACTGTTAAAAAATGTAACAGGCAGAAAGAATCTATATTTTGTATATGACGTTACAAACGGTTTACACTATACACATACATAACCCTCAACCGTTTATTTATATATTTTGGCGTGATCTGCATTCTGAGCTGTCCCCTTATCTGGTCTCTATACGACAACTATTATCAAAAAGGTATAGATCATTATAAACTTGTTTAAGCAATATATCACAGATCCATTCGTCAGAAACCATCAGCAATAATCAGCCATGTTGTAGAATAAACTAGCTTCCAGATGAATAGGAAATCGGGAGGATACTATGGGAGTGGATGGTTGACACTCTATGGAAACTGTCAAATGAGACCACAAAACAAGCCCTGAATTGGAATTCTCAAGGCAAAAGAGAAAGAGGTAGACCAATAAACAAATTGTACTGGGAATCAGAAGTAGACAGCAGAAAAATCAACAGTATATGATAAAAAATAGAAAGGAAAGGCCGAGGAAGAGTTGGTCGGAGATTGCCAGTTGATGGACTATGTCCCATGAAGGGCAATAGAATTAAGTAAATAAGTTAGCGATGTGAATCAGGTCGGTTATAAGTATATTCACCTAATTTTCAGCAGAATTTAATATCTAAATAAATTAATGATGGGGATTACTGAAAACGGATATAAATAACACACTTGAAAAATTAGTGGACTTGATTTATTTATTCTATTATGTACCTGCCAGTGAAGTACTTTGCACCTAATTCACAAAACTCGAAATCACATTCATCTGTAGGCTATTCTTTTCCTACTTACTCGATAACTAATAACTACATTTAAAATGCATGGGACTTCTGAGGAGTGCGCATCTAGTGGAGCTAATCCGTGTCAGGTAAGGACAGGTATCATACAACAGAAGATGGTCGCGCAATGTCATGGATTGGTTGGAGTGAGACACTAGCACCGTTGGATGCTAGTTCAGTGATCTGGAGGTTAAGCGTTCACACATGGGACCGAAGGTACTAGGTTCAAACCCCGCACGTGGTGTTGTGGATGAACACTTGTGAGGAGTTCCCCACTCGGACCAAACGGCCACCCAGTGTTTCCAGGCTTTCAATGTTGCTCTAACATCGATCGATTCATGATCTCAATCAAAAAATTAACTGTCTTCACAACCACATACCGATAATTTCTCTTCAAATCAGACAATTAAAAAACGTTGGTTGACTAGTTCCGTCATTATTCTATCAATGTACGTAGAACACTTCAACAAAAAGTAAATACTATTAACTTTTCAATATAAATTTATTACTATAGTCACATTATTCATCTAGTTAGTATATGAATGAACAGATGGTACTTTTACTAGCATCAAATATGACCTTTAATGCTGGAATATAAGCTCCTGTGAAAAGCGTTTGCTATCTTTAAATTTCGACTAATAATATTTTGGACTTAAATCACAGTATGGCAAGACATTTGACAGTGCTTACAGTCAAATAATGTTTTATGTACATTAGTGTTTATAGTAATTAAATATAACATCAGTATCGATAATATATGTGTATTTTTGCTGATGCATAGTGTTAGCACGGGCCAAAATTTCGAAACATGTTTTGTTAAAAATATAAATAGTCTTCTCTATATAATTATATCTATATAGCAAAACACTTCAATATATTCAAGTTAAGTCCATGAGAATCGAACACAAATTGGCATTATGACTTCATATAGATAGAGACAGACACTCGACCCTCATTCTTAGTACACTTTCATAATTGAATGCCAAAATATCTTAAATCAAATATGAACAAATACGACTTATCAGTCCTATTAGTCTTTATGCGTGTTCGACTAATTCAAACCACCAACTATATACTTTTGTGAACCACAATAATAATATATATTATACATAAAGTAGAAAACATATATATTGAAAAGGTATGTAGACATGATATATATATATATATATATATATATATATATATATATATATGCAAACTCTATTATTGTTGAAGGGTGAAGTTAAAAATAAAGATGGCTGTAATGAGCTCAGCAGCTGCTTCATGGGTAAACATTATTCTAATATTTCAAGATAACTCCTTACAATATAGTAATAGACGTTGATAGGTTTAAGTAGGGATTTGTAGTAAATTCGTCTTTACAGTAAGCAACTTACCAAATAATCGTTAAATAGCCACTAATATTAGAACTGAGTCATTAAAATTCTTTCGTTCTGACGATTTACTCACATTTGTACAGATATTATGCTTTCTTAACATCATAGTTTATTACTTGTTACTGATCGAATAAACATAGTTATAACTAAAAAAAATTGTAGCAAGGAATACTGTCTATCGTTTTCCATGAATAAAGCATGTATTATTTGAAACATACGAATTCTTTTAAATCATCTTTCAAAGCAACTTTAAACACCCATAGATGAAAATATTTAATTTTATAGAATCTAGAGTGTATCGTGGTTTTAAGCCTACAGTATCAGTGAAACTTGTATTACCAGTGAACTCAGCTTAAATGACTTGTATTTTTCTCGTTGAAAGTAAACTCAAATAAGGAAAATAAAACATTTGTGATCATGGTTTAAAATAATCTCTTAAATTATGCTGTCAGAAACAGATTGTTAGTTGCCATATGGCGCCAACACGCAACCAACTAGATATGTCCATAATATTTACGTTAAATAGAAATTACCACCCATATTGTAAATCACATGAATTGTCTAGACAATTATTATTTAATTTATTAGTTATTTTTACACGTATATACATACATATTCTTACCATCAGTTACCTTCTTTATCTTTTGTTAATAAAAGTGAATACGAATAACTATCTATTGAACCGATAGAAGAAATAGATTCTAAGTTGTTTTCTTTTTAAAAAAAAACAATTCAATATAAATAACTAAACAGTTAAACAGAAGTCGAAATTAAATGGTCTTTTTACTAGGCGAATAAAAATCATACTTCATACAGGATTGGTTTATTTGGAAACTTTAACTATATTCATTCTATAGTAGAAGGTTGAAACATGTTTAGTTTTTAGTTTAATAAATTAACCTTTTTTGGTTTGAATAGGAAAAACCTAATTATGGTTGTAATTTATATGTCTCATCGAATAATTAACTTTTTATCAATGATTTCTAGACATAAAACAACTTCATGACAGTTAATATTAATTTATATAATGAATAAACAAAGTTAATTAACCAACAAAATTAACTTACATGAGGATTAAGATATGGATTTAAATTAGATTTTAAAGAACCAATTTGACAAGCGGTACGATTAGAAAATTCTTTAGTTTCCAATGAATATACACAACATGACACTGGAACATTTACTACACTTGGTATTCCTAAATTATTATCATATTCTTGAGATAATAAACGTATTGAATTTGTTCCAAATACTGAAGACTGATGTATTTGACGTGAATACCAAACAGAACGAAGATATAAATCTGCTTGATTATCTTCAACAGCACAACATTTCAACTGAAATAACAAATATATAACATTCTTCTTAAAATATTTTAGATTTCGTTTAATAAAAATAATGTATTTTACTCTATCCTGATGTTTACAATATAAATTTGGTTTTTGACCAAAAAGTATATTTTAGAAACCGCGCAATGTGTCAGTTCCATACGCTATTCTAGACAACAAATACTTACGTAACTCTTCTGAGAGTCAGTGTTCTTTAGACAAAAATGCTAATAGACTATTAGTATATTAACCAAGGCAACATTTTCAAGCTAGATCTGTCAATATTACAAGACAGAATTTTTTTTACTTGTATGTTTAGTTTTCATAAAGGCTTAGTTTTTCGAAAGACGTTTGCAAATTAGGTTAAGATTACCAATCATGCATTATGTTTAAGGCTTAAAAGATATAAACTATATATCTAGTAACCGTTAAAGAAAACTGCATGATATTTTGTACAACTACCGTAAAATTAACTTAGGGTTTATTATTATTAGTATTAAAGTGAAAATTCAAGTCCTAAAAATGAGAACCTACAAAATGTGTAATAGAAAATTTAATCAATGATTTATGATAATAATTAAAAAGTTTCCATTGTAAATCTAATGGATTTAAATCTATGGGTATTATTCTATTCATCTTTAACGTTTACAAACTATTCAATAATAATATCATTATGATTAACTATAAAATAAATTTAACTAAAGTAAAATTCCCTTATAAACTATAAGGATAAATAGTAAATACAACTCTATACATTATCCATTTCGAATTCTAAGATTAAGTTAAATACATTTTCAGTAAAGAATACAATTACTGTTAGAATCAGAAGAAGTATCGGTTAATCAGTCATATTTCAATTATTTATCATCTTTATCCATTCTTTATGTACGTAAATGAATAGGAGATAATTCACTTCTCTATCTTATTTTTGTTGTACTGTCATTAAGTTCAAGTCATGTTAGAAACTTCATGATTTCAACATAAATTCTATAAAAACTTCATGGTTAATAACTATAGATCAGTTAAAATTAGTTGTTTAGTTGTTAGTTCATTAATTATTAAATACAATGCAGAAGGTAATTATATTCATGTTTATGTTAGACATACTGTTTTAAAGTGAGTTGAGTAATATACTAAAAATTGCGCTTATTTATTTAGTGTATTTAAGATTTGCTGAACTCTGGCTACCTGTTTGCAATTGATAGACTTAAATTGACATGTTGATTTTAGAAATTTTCGACTTACGGGTTGTAATCAACTAATTACAATCGACCAATAAAAACCAAAATAAAATTTCATTTTACACTAAATCGATAATAAATATTTGAGTTATTTTACCCCAGTTAAAACATATTTATCATCAGTACTTTACTGGTTGGACTCGAAATTTGGAACAGAAGAGGATTTTATCAATATGAAAGTTGCTCTTACATTGTATCGACCATAATTTACAGCCTTATATTCAACATTTTAGTTTAAGTAACCCGAAAACACATAGAAATTTTGGTTAACTGATTTCCTTAAAGACTGAACTTATTTTTCAAATGACGTTGGACTACTGTTGAGGATCATAGAATTAATATAATTTCCACTTGTGAATCAGTTCACCTGTTAACACACCACCAAATATTTTACGACATGGATGTATTTTACAATGACTCGAATTTAATTATATTTCATATGATGTATTACTCATACGTATGTGCATTAAAATTTAAGCTAATTTAATCATATGAGAAATTCACTTCATCAAGGAAAAGATTAAATTAAATTTTACTTATTATAACCTATTACATTTAGGCTACTTATTAAGTAGTATAATGATACTACTTTTTAAAATAGAAAGGTTATCTTTGATCCTGACCCTGTTAATAATGATAAGAAATATAGTTATAGTGGTTTCTTATTTAAACGGAAAGTCTAGTAAACTATAATGATTATACTGAACACTTTAAGTACACATATATAGTGAGTTATTTTAACAAAAATATCGTAAATAAACAACTTGAGGAAATATTTAGAAAGCGTTGTTAGGAAAAACTAAGTTACTTTATCTTCTTTCTAAATGTTTCAGGTTGAAATTGGGTGAATATAAACATTACACAATAGTAATAGTCATAGTTATATATATAGAAATATCTATAAACTAATATTTAGTAAAAATATAATTAATTGATCCATCTAAGTTACCTTTATTTTCCCAATATGATTTAAGGAAAATTAGTTGACTTGAATAGAACATTTATTGAGTCTCGATAATAGTTGAGACAATCATTTTCTATGTAGGTTATATTATAATTGTCACTAACTTTCATATACTTGAGTTTGATTCCCAATAAAATCGACGACACTCATTAATATACAGGTTCAAATTATTTCGTACATATTATGACAAATGTAGCCTCCTTTCGAATCTTATATAATTATTTACTAGTGCTACTGTTTAACTGATTCAAGATGCGCTTTTTTCTCAAAACACTGCTAAATTGTACCTTAATAGGTATGTGTATTTCCAAAATATTCGAATATGACTAAAGTAAATGGTAAATTTTATGATGTACTGATAATAATTGAAACACTACTAAAAACTTAGGAGCTCTGATGAGTACATTCCATGGTGAACATACACGAACCGAATATCAACAGTTCTTCCAGTGACTAGGGTATTTTCCTGTCGGTTGTTATAAATCTAATGGCCCTTTATTTTCAATTCAATTCAACATGTTAAGATTTGGCTTAGCATAGAAACTATCTCCAAGTCGAACACATTTTTGCATACCCCTTAACTGTGTTTGAATTAATCTACATTTCACAAGGTTCAGTCGGTTTTGAATTTAAAAATGTCAAAATAATGATTAGCACTGGTTATCATATATAATAAGACCACCTTAAATGAGATATTCATCTGAGTAAAACTAATTAGGAAGATATATCTACTTCTTAACAAATCAAAACCTACTCATAGTGCTTGAGCTCTTTTCAGGTGCAAAACAGTTATTTAGTTAATTTCTGTATTGTTACTACATTTCACAGGTCGATATAAAATAATCTTGAAACAAGAATTCTGGAAGTATTGATTCAGTAACTTAACTGATCATATTAAAGTTAAGAATCAAAGTTTTTACAAGCCTATTTGAATAGTGGGTATAGTTTGCTCTGTATATGTTACCTGCCTAAAATTATTTATATTTGGAAGAAGATCAATCAATAAAATAAAAGCAACCTTGTTATAATATAATCACATTGTAAGATTAGGATTGCGAATGACTAATAAATAACCATATGTGAATTTAGGATTGTAAAGAACGACATAGATAATCAACAAGGAAAAAATTACCCTGATTTATTACTAAGTAATATCCAAGGCTTGTTTCTATGACCACTTAAACGGACAGTTTGATAGAAATATGTTTTGTTTGCTCATCAGTGGTGCCGTTGATCAATTTATAATATGTCCACTAGTTTAAGAAATTTTACATCCAGTAGTTTGAATCTAAGTACCACATAATTCAAGGTGATTGAACCCATGAACCTAAGTTTCGTGGTAAAAACTAGAGAAGCATAACATTGCTCGCAATTCAGCGTAAATATCCTCATCCTATAGAAAGTCTGTTGTGGTCATAACAGATTATAACTAACATTTGGTAAACCATTGAAGACCTCACCCTGTTGTGTTAATCATAGGCAATACATGTTCACAACCACATACACGATCGAATATGTAACGACCAAGTACTTACAAAACGTGGCACTTTTAAAACAATTCAGTGGTAAATCCTTAGACTTTGAAGCTGTGTGGAGGGGTTCAGCATCAATCAGAGAGCATCGATTCCCCCGAAATTGTACGCACGTTCTGTTGATTAATACCACTTAGCATGAAACATAGGTTTATGGTTTTCTGACAAATATATCCAACCACCTAACATCGAAGGACAATGTCTATGTACTCACACTACCGTTCACATTGCAAATCAGTATTCAAGGATTAGACAAACATGAAATTTGTCTCTGTATAGTGATCAACCAACCGTATTATACCAGTCGCTTACTGAGTGTATAATACCAAACTCGTCATATTTACATGTCATAGTCCCCAAATCGAACTTTGATATGTTAATCTCAAAGCCAGTCATTAGTAAGCACAAAACTATTATTTAATTACCTTGTTTTGTAAAATTTCTTTGAATATGAACATAGCCTTTATCTAAAGTAAAAGTCATCCATTAAATCATATTATCACATTTATATCTAAAAAACATTTGTATAAATGCCTTGAAGTCAAATCAACCACCTTGATCATTTTCAATACTATTAAATATATCTTGTGTAATCTATCTCTTGACTAAATTTAATCTGTCGTTTTTTGTAAATGAAGTGATCATGTTGAAAGAATTAATCTTATCGCAATATATCCTTCAATCTCTTCGAAATATCTATACCATATTTTATACACATATACACTTGATATTCAATAATTATTTACATATTTTATAATATGATATAGTTAAAACAATTAAGTAAATATTTTTTCTGCCAAACAACAGTTAAGTTGGAACCTAATCGTTTCATTTCAATGATGAATAGAAACTACGGTTCAAGTATCATAGACATTACATACTCTAATAATGATTTCATTATCTACATGATTGAATATATGTAATTAAGGGGAATAATTTGATAAAGTGTATTGTTACATAACATTTATTGATTCATATCCTTAGTATCGTTTCACTTGTTTGGATAAATTAAGTAATTAAGAGTAGAATATTTGATTAGTTTACAGATAATTTTGGCATATATTTAAACCTATGGACTATAGGTTAGAACATTTAGTAAATTCACCTTTCATCTGATATTCCGACTGGAGTAGTAACAAAAACGACTGCACCTATTTGAACTGTTTATTTGAGTTGCATGAAAAGTGAAAATCTTGATTATAATGAATATATATTGTGCTAATTACATTTAGAGAATATGAAGTTTACTTAAGATATAGGATATCGGATAAA